ACAGATTTTATGCCCCACCAAGCATCAAGGCTATAGAAGAGCAGTTTTAAATCTAAAAGAAGTGAATTCACGAGCCCTTATACTGTTCTCACAAGCGCTTCCTCAGGAATCTAGTAGAGGATGATCTTCCTCAAACCAAGAGATGACAAGGAAAACTTCACCAAAAGAACCAAGTATATTAAACTGTAGACCAAAGAGTTAAAAAAAAAAAAGTGGGGTGTGGCGGGGGGAAGAGAAGAACAGCATGTAATGTTTTATGTTCTCACCACAGTAGAAATAATGCATTTTTTAAAATGGGAAGAGAAGCAAGAAGGATCAAAATAGCACAGCTCAGTGACTGTCATGAGAGTAAAAACATACCATTTAAAGCCAATAAATAAAAGAGTACAAGCCTAATAAAAAAGAAAAGGAGATTAAGGGTGCTCCAAAAAGTATTAAGATAAAAGTAACCATTACAACATAAATACAAGGCCTTCCTAATTAACAAAAGGTATCAGCACTCCTCCCCAATGCACACATGAAAAAGGGAAGAAAATAGACACAGAGAAAGGAACTGAGTAAATACGCCACATCATACAGTAAACGTAGCTTAAAATTAAAATGCAAGGTTGAGATTAAGCACATAAGTAATATCATCTTAATAAGAAAATGGTTTGATTCACTTATTTAAAAGATTTTCAGGTTGGTTAACAAACAAGCAAACAACACAACATCTCTCTACTACATTCAAGAGACCCATCCAAGACAGAAAGGCCAGTGTGGGAGGGGAAGAGGACCAGACAAACGCAATCAGTGAGAAAACAGGTGTATGATCCTGTACCAGAAAAGGCTGGATTCAGGTCCAAAGCATGAAATGAAATAATAAAGACACTTTACCAAGGTAAAGGCTGTAATTCACCATGAAAAAATAATAGTTATATGGAGGAAAATGAAGGAGAACACCTGTTAAAGATGGAGACACTCTTGTTCTCCTGTATTTTGCCCGTCTCAGCAGGATGTGAATACACTGTGTCAGCAAGATTTTGCAAGGCTTAACCGCAAACCACAGATTTCCTATTGAGTTACCTAGGAGATGGACAGGTGATGGGAGGGGTTTGCAGCTGGCTGAAAAATATATAATACCTGCTTTCTCCCAATAAATTTGCTTAGTGCGTGCACTAAGCCCCAGAACTTTGTGTCTGGCCTGTGGTTGACCACCTCCCCGGGCGGCAGCCCCTAGCTCAAGGTGTGCTTTGAGCAACTCACCTTCCTGCACTCTCTTGGCAGGGCTGCGTGTGGCCCTGCTCCCTGAGGGACTCCTGGCAGAGGCTACGTGTAGTCCTGCCTCCTGAGACCCCCAGGACCAAGAGAAAGGCACAGTTA